GATCGGCCGAACCTGCGGACGGGGCAGGTAAACAAACCGGCCCGGCCCGCCAGGGGCTTTCCCTACACAAGCAGCATCCCAAGTTTGGGAAACACTGTACTACAAGATCAGGTCTATAGTTAGCATTGGTTTTGGTAAGGAAGTGTAGTCCCAGATTTGTACATAAGGGTAATGTTCTGAGAAACAGAAAATGCTGTGAAGAATTCTATTCCTTTACACACACACACAAATCCAGCTGAGTTCAAACACCTAAAATATGAGCTTTTCTAAACTGACTTATGAGTTAGAAGGATTGCAGAATGTAGGCAAATAAATAATTTAGGCTTGATAATAAAATAATTAATCTTTGCTGACTGGTGAGAAGATGAATTTAATGCAATGGGCTTCGTATGAACTGTGCACTATCAGCAGAAACTACACTAAAACTAATACATATTTCACTTAAAATTTGATTCTGGATATGAAACATCCTCTGTACATAAAGTCTCACACATAATAATAATCATAATTAATACTTTGAACTTCCAGAGTGCCTTTCATCCCATGACCTCAAAGTTCTTTAACGACATTAATAAATTAAGGCTCACAACACCCCTTTGAGATAGACTAAGGATATAAAGCAGTGGTGGGCAACCTGCAGCCCGTAGGCCAAACGCGGCCCGTCAAGGTAATCCGCTGGCGGGCCGCCAGACAGTTTGTTTACATTTGCACAGCCACCCGCAGCTCCCAGTGGCCGTGGTTCGCCATTGCTGGCCAATGGGAGCTGCGGGAAGCAGCGGCCAGCATGTCCCTGGGAATTTAGTTGGGCAGATTGCAATTTCCTGGGCCCAGATCTTTGCCCCTGCTGCAACCCAAAAAAACCTATACAAGGGAGCTCTGAGAAAGAAAATTCCCGCAAGAATCCCCACGTGTAGTTCTGCCTTTATAATTCCATTTGAAGTCGTGGTTTGCCCCCTCACAGATGGGCCAAGGAGCTCACCTCCAAATTTCTTGAGCTTAAGCTCCACAAGGCTGGAGAGGAACAATATACATGTACCTTGTATCCAACCCATCCACTGCTGCCTGCAGCTTGCCTAGCCTAATCATCTTTGGCACAAATTAATTTAAAAATCAGTCAAACACCTTGGGTCCTCGTTGCCTGGTGGATTTTCCCATCAGTTTTTCATCATCTAGTTCACATTGCTCCAGAAGATCCAAAATGTCTTCCTCCTGAAAATGTGAATATGTCTAGGATTAATGCAAAGCGATGTCATTAAAAATGACAATTCAAAACAGATCCCACCTTTCCTCCAAAGGTAAAGTGGCAGCTTGGATTGAGATTTAAAAGTGGTTTTCTGATCAAATAATCACTAAACACCTGTGTGTGCACGAACGTGTATTCACATGCTTCCAAAGACTATTTTGATAAAATAATAACATCTTGATATTAAATTATTTCCTCTGATGTACGCCATTCCAGTGGAAATCAACGATACCTGCAAGACTGCAAGCTGAATTTGACCCTTATAGTTTGTTAATAGCTATTTGTGCGAATGGTTGGACATAATCTTCTGTTAGACTGCTGGCTGATATGTTATTGAAAAGGTTATTTCCCCTAAGTTTGTAATAATTTCTCCAATTTGAACAATGACTTCTAAATCATGATAAATTAGCCACTTGAAGAATGGATATATTTGAAATGGCCATCTCTAGGAATTTCCCCTGAGCTAGGGGGATCCCTGAGGGCCATAGCTGGCTCTATGACAGCTGTTGTCCCACCCAGCTATAGTGGGCATCTCTGAGCAGGCTGGGACCATTACTGGGGGAGAAAGAAGGTAATTATCAGTAGGCAGAGTGGTCTTTATGGGGGTTTATGCCAGAGTTTAGTTTGGCCATGGGGCAGGCTGAGGATCAAGAAAATGGCTTAAAGCCACTTGTCCTATCTCCACCCTGGGTCTTATGTCCAGTGCAGTTCAGCCAGACTCAGGAATTTGGCCAACAAGCTGCATGAAGAACAACAATAAAACTACAGAAAAATTGTCAAGTGTTGTTATTAATGACACATGAGCAAAGATGGAGCAAAGATGATTCAAACCGGATTCAAAACTTCATGCTGGGTCATGGAATTCCAAGATACATAAACTTTAAAGCCAATACTTCTGCACACTAGTACCTTCATTCTTTTCAAAGGGTTATTCCGCTCCCGCTGAAGTGAAGCTGCTCTCCCAGCAAGGAACGTCTGGAAAGCAATGGCTAACAAACTCTCATATTTTTCAAGTAACAGCTTATCATCAGGAGGGTAAATTCGCCTACAATTAGAAAAAATGAAATGGAGACAAGAGTAAAACAAAGTTGAGCTACTGACCACACAAGGAATACAACTAACGTAACTAATTCACAAAACTCGTTATGTAGGAGATTTATTTAGTCTGTAATTATTATTAAATGCATATTGTGAATAAGACTCTCTCACCTAACTTTAGCTCAGTGGACACATACATGCTTTAGCCAGCAACTGGCTGCTTTAAAAAAAAGAAAGAGAGAGAGACACACACACACAGACAGTGCAGGTTCTTCTACAGAAATATCATGACTGAGTCTTGGAATACTCACTGAAATTTCAACTTCAGATGTGAATGAGGCATGAAACATTAACAAAATACTGTATTCAGAGGCATGAAATATTTTGTTTTGGAAACAAAGCAATACAAAAGGATTGAAAATCTTTCTGATTAACTACTATGCTTTTATGGGCCTGCTATAAATTAAATCTTAGAGATGTACTGCATTACCCCAGTAACCCTTTCAACATAATGGACAGGAACATTCACTATTAGAAAAACATTATCTAACAAAGATGGAGAGTGGCTCCGATTTTCCATTATAGCAGCTATGATCATTATTCTTTACAACTGTGGGTAGGAAGATTATGACAATGCAAAACTAGGACTGAGTGATTTATGCACATTTACAAAGAAACAATTGGCTCTGAAGAGAATCATCCCTAATCTACTTGTCAGGAAAAACTGAAGCATAGCCAGAGACTGTAAAACCTGGTGACTAATTTCTAACCTACATTAAGTGGGCAAATGGATTATAATCAGTCAGCATCATGTAACTGGTGTATTTTAGTAGGTCTCTAAGGGTATGTCTACACTTAATTGTAAACCCAGGCTCAGGTTCAGGTTCGAGACCAAGCCCCCTTGCTGTCCACACACAAGCCTTTCTGACTTGGGTAAGCAAGCACACAGGAGCAGGATGTGGGTCCAAGGCCAAGTCCCACTGTGACTCTGGTCCAAGCCCTGTCATTTTGAAGTGTGGACGCAGCGCAAGCCATAGACCCAAGTCAGAAGATTTGCATAGTACAGTGTGAATGCATTAGCATAGTTGAGAGATTCAGTTCCAGCAACTGTAAGCCTGGGTTTACAATGCAGTGTGCATGCTCAAGTGTAGGCTTGGAAACACAAACTCCACTAGTGCAGGTCCCACAAATGGAGGTTTACAGTGCAGTGTAGACATACACTAAGTCTTGTGAATTTTGTAAAAGGATCACTCCCCTTTTGCCTGCTCACAATGTTAGGCTCCTTGAAAAACTACCTCTTGCAGTGACCTTCACTCAGATGGGGAAGAGTGGTCATGCTCTCACTAGACTTAATTAATATAATCCAGGCATCTGCCAGAGAAGATTGCTGAAGAGCAATCTGTAGCACTCCCTTATCTAGTGGTTGGACAAATGGTCTTCTTTCCCAGCTGTATGTGAAAAAAACCTTTGGTTTTCAGTTTTCATAGAATCGCATTAGTCTAGATTCACACATATTGGTTTAAAATAAACATAGTAGCTTTGGTTCAGATATACTCTTGTACAGTTTCCCTTTGCATGCTATGGTGAACATTCAGTGATCTCAGACCAATGGAAAATTCTCCACTGGTCTAAAACAAATTAAAACCTAGCATAATTCATAACCATGCAGCAGCTATATTTTGTGTGTATTACAAACAAGGCTGTGTCAATGGAGAAATTAGGAGCAACCATAGAAGTTCCACAGAGAGCAAGGGAGAATTAGAGAGGGCCAGGGTGCCCTTAGTGGGGGCCAGAAGTGCATCAGAGAAGGCAAGGGAAATAGCTAGTAGAAACTTCCCCACTCTGTCACAAACGTTAACTTCATTTTTCTTAAAGGATCTCCAAAGCGTTAAGAGGACTGTGAGGGAGAGTGAATATAAGGTGTGAAGACTTATTTCATGAAAAAGGCACCCTGAGCCAGTATGAATCTGTTGGTAAATTTTTTCCCATTAACAAACAAACAAACAAACAAAAGCATTGAGACTATATTCTAATGCACAGATACTGGCATGCACAAAACCTCAGATAATTGATTTCTGGAAAATCACTTCTATAATAAATTTGAATTTCAAATCAATATCTTCTTCAGTAAAAATGATGGAGTTGGTCCTAAAATCAGTGAGAGTTATAGTTGCCTAATAGATGCTCTGTACTTCTCGGGATACTGCCTTATATTTATACATTGAGAAGATAGTGGGCCACATTCTGCTCTCAATTATACAGGTATTATATGATGCCAATAGTGTTACTGTGCATTTAGATCAGTGAAAATGAGTGAAGAATCTGGTCTAAAGTGCTTTCTATTTCAGTGCAAGACAAAGGCAGAAGAAAATATGCCTGACTAATATAAAGAGACCATTCGTTCACAAAACAATTACACTCAAAGGTCTAAAACACGTCTGTCAATTGCATTTATTTATTGTTCTTTACACATATAAACAGACTATTAACTGTAAGGTCAAAGGAACAGTCTATTGTGATTGGAAATGCTCCTCTGCTTAAATATAAATAATTTACACATGTTCAGCTAATGAGAAGGTTCATTCAGCAATCTAGTCCCTCTGTTTCAGGTTTTGCTTTAAAGGGACAAATACTGGTCCAATTGAAGTCAGTGGGAGTTATGCAATTGAAGTGAACAGGACCAGGATTTAGCCCTAAGTACAGACCTGTTGGTCTCAGTGCAGAGCAGGCCAGAGCTCCTTGGTAGCAATCAATTTTTTTTAAAGGGGGGAAAAAAGTGGTGTTTCTGCTGATTTAAAAGAGGCCTAACAATAATTTCATTGGAGGGATAGGCATTGTAATTCAATATGAGGAAAATATACTCCACTGCAAAGGGCCCACATGAAACCTATACACTCCTTAAGCCCCTCAAATTCAGCAAGGAACTTAAGCACATGCCTACCTTTAAACATGAGTAGTCCCACTGAAGTCAATGGGACTACTCATGTGCTTGGAGTTAGGCACATGCTTAAGTACCTTGCTGAATCGACACCTGAAGATATAGAACCTGACCCAAAACCTGCTGAAGTCAATGGAAAGACTCCCATTCACAGAATCAGGTCTGAAGTCAGTGCAGACATACAAGTTTCTTGCGGTTCTCATTTAAAACACTAATGTCATGCCATGCAACAATAGTAATGGATTGTTCATCTTTCCATATTGTAAGGGAGCTTTTTTTAAAATCTAGATTTTTTTCATTAACATTTTAAAACAATTATTTACTTGTATCTTAAAAGTACAGAGTCAGATCCACTTATACAGAGGTGGCATAATGTGTCATATTATATTAATGTCATATTAATGGAGATATCCTATCTCCTAGAACTGGAAGGGACCTTGAAAGGTCATCAAGTCCAGCCCCCTGCCTTCACTAGCAGGACCAAGTACTGATTTTGCCCCAGATCCCTAAGTAGCCCCTTCAAGGATTGAACTCACAACCCTGGGTTTAAGAGGCCAACACTCAAACCACTGAGCTATCCCTCCTCCCCTCACATACGTACTCCCTCAGTCCTGGAGTTGATGTTAAAAACAGCCTTTATTCCTTAGGATGTTACTTTCAAAAATAATATTTACCATAGATACTTACGATAGAATAAAATTGTTGCCTACTTAAATTTTGTCTTTTCAAGTATTTAATCAACACAGTGTGCTTTGTCTAGAACATAACAAAATCTACATACTATTAAGTAGTGGGACCTTTGCTCCATTAAAATTGTTGTTTGTTATTTTCAAAGGAAAAATACCTAAAGACATACCATAGATAGGCCTCATCATTATCACCCCCTTTCTGCCTCCAATTTGCTAGCAATAGGAGTGTTGCCTGGCTGCAGGAACAGGCCCTTTATCTGCAGCCATGCTTCTCAGTGCACTCAACATTTAAGTCCAAGTCTTTCAAGTAATTATGCTGGTGCCTATAGACCATATAATTGATGCCTTATAAACGCCAGATGCAAACACAGACCTTGGATTAGAAGTCCTATTACCTGGGAAAAGACAGCATCTGGTGAACATCAATACTTAAAATAAATTCCTGTAAATAATTTTTCTGCAGAAAATCTATCATTGCCTCACAATACCTATTTCCATTATTCTTAAATAAATCATTCAATTCTGGACTGATTCATCCCACTCAAGCAGGAAGAGGGAGGGCACAGTTACCTGTAGTTCCCCATGTGTTTGTTTTCATGCTCTTCTTTGGAAATCTGTTTACGAACTTGCACAAGTCTTTCTTTCTAGAAATCAAGTAAGAAAGAATTAAAACTGATTGAGTACAAGCCTTAGAAGGGAAGGAAGAGTAGCTTTGTAAAATTCCTTTATACCAGTTCTTCTCTTCTCCTCTCTAGCGTGTGGCGCTGTTTTTCCCAGTCAGAGGATCCTGGTGACAGTCTTTTCATTGACCCTTGACCATAAAGTCTCTTTTGAGCCTCAGCTTTTTGTTGGGCTAAGTTTCTCCTTTTATCACTTGTCCTAAAATAGAGATTACATTCAAATATGACTCAATTAATCCGGAAAGCAATAGCTTTTAATCAGGATTAGGAGATGACTGCATTACATTGTTATAAACATAGCTGAATTCTTAGTTTTTTATAATGAAATCTTTTGTACATATTTATCTGGCACAGTCACAGGATATGGTCCCAACATGCAATCAGACCTGCACAGGTGCAGAACCCCCAGTAATTTTAATGGGACTCCATGTAGGCAGACCTCTATAACTGTGCACAATCCCACTGAAATCAATGGGGTTCTGCACAGGCACAGGAGTCTGTCCTCACAGATCCAATTCCAGGACTAGGGTCTAATGTATTAAACCTCTGTGTAGAGGTTGTCACTCCATACCCTCTTACAACACATGTGAGCTGAGAGGTACTTTCACTGTAAAAGAAACCCCCCGTTTTTTCCTATCAAACACACTATGCTGTAGATCTTATAGAAAAGAGAAAAAATAAATACTGCTTAAGAATGAATTCTTATAGTATCAATTGTTGTGGCTGTGATAACTCTATGCTTTTTAGTACAGTACTGTACTGATTTTGTGCTACCACCCAATGTGCAACCTTGACCTTAATTTACAGTAATTATTTTCCATTAGGTTTACAACTGAAAACTGCACCATTTCCTCCAGTTTACCCCCTCCTCTGTGTTCTGGTGTTAGTAGAAATGGATTGCAGTTGTGAATGCTAGTGCCATCAGATCAAACTACCAAAGTGACAGTGAATCCATGCCAGCACTTACCATCCACACTCTGAGACCTGAGTGAAAAATTATTAAAACAAGAATCAGGAATGGTAATCAATACTTTTTTTTTTTTGTAATGCACACTAATGAGGAGTAAAGTTGAAGCTGAGTCATGTACACATAGTAAAACTGGTAAATAAGAAAACTTTGCCATTCACACAATTTAAGACTGGTAACAAATTTTCCATACTGCACATATCCCATGATTTTCCCACATTCAATAGGAAAAAAGGGCAGTAAACGTCGCACTCCTATAAAAAAAGTTAGGGTGAGGATTAAAATGCAAGTTTACCTTATATTGAGAAGCTTTAGTGCATTTAGTAGAACACCTTTTTTTACATCATAGTCTATTTTTTGGTCAGTTCCAAAGCTTGGTGCTCGATTAATCTGAAAAATTGAAACACAGAAAATACAAGGATGTTTAACTTCAGTGTATGAAATATACACACATTTTTCATAAAGACTTCTTTTAAAATCTACTGACATGAAAATAATTAGATTAATAAAATAAATGTTAGGAAGCTAATGTCATGAAAACTGAAAGAGAACATTTAAAACGAAAGTTATCATTATACAGGAATTAAAAGAAAAACCATGAAAAGTCATTAAAAACATGGTGGGAGAAGTTTAGCTACTTTCTTCGTGGAAGGACTCCCATCCAAGGATTTACCAGGCTCAATCTTTCTTAGATAGTCTGATAGATTCGCCTCCTCTGGCAGCATGCGGGCCAAAGATTTTTTGTTGTTCAGTGCCCTGATAGTACGAACACTTACACACATGCTTAACTTTAAGCATGTGGGTAGTCCATGCTTAAAATCAATCATGTAAATAAACGTTGAAAGAAGTGGAGCATTTAATCAATGGGCCTCTGGGGGCAAGAACTCAAACCCAACTCTCATATATCATATTACAGAAAACTGTCACTCGACAGGGCAGATGCATTTTAAATAAGATTTTATGTATGTAAATATTTAAAGTAAAACTACATTGATTAGATATGTTTGGATAAGTTAAAGGTAAACACCAGGCAGTTTTATTCATTTTTCCAATAAGTTAACTTCCTGGCTTTTATGTACACTGCATGCCCAGATACCAGTGAAATTGTAGTTAGATTTTGGGACTTTTGAAATGCTATTTTGGCCCAAATTTTTAAGTCATGATTGCATGCACCCATAGTACATAGAAATAGCCAGAGCCCATGAGCCCACCCACACACAGGATTGCACATGTGCAAATAGGGAACATGGCATGCAGAAGTTCATGCTGATTTTTGAAATTGTGGGCCTTCAAATATCCCTGTATTGTTAACTCTTTAGATTACAGCTGCAGCATTAACAGCAGCATTCCTGCAGAGAACGTGAGAAGTAATTACAGCACATTGTACTGTTTACATATCTTATATCCTGTCATTTTACTTGAATAATGTAATACAAGTGAATAATATAGTTACACAGGGAATATATTTAATATGCTAATATAGATTAACAGACATTATTATAAAAATGATCTGTGCTACAGGTCTGTCGCATCTTACGCGCATTTAACATGCGCGATTTCAACTTTAGGCGGTCGGCAAAAACAAACAAAAAAGAGAAAAATAACAATTTTAATACTATACCTGTAGTGCGGGCGATTTCGCCCGCCATTGAACTCAATGGAATTTTGGCTATATGCGGTTTTCGCTTTACACGCTAACCGTGGAACAGAACTCCCGCGTAAGATGAGACAGACCTGTATGTATCTAAGATAGAAAGGAAAATTCAATTACACTGAAAACTAACTCGATTTAAATGACCTTTTATTTCTTACAAAGTGGTGATATGGAAGAAAAAGGTTTGCAGCAAACCTGAACAAACAGAACCATGTTAGTTGTGTTTTATGAAGGAAGAAGGTGGTTTTGTTATAATAAAACACACAGTGTACAAAACGCTACACTAAGATTTCTGTGGGTATGTGTACACAGCATTTTGGACTGAGACTCCCAGCCCAGGACAAGAGATGTGGGCTAGTGGGGCTCGCATTAGCACTCAAAAAATAGCTATAAAGACCGCGCTTAGCGAGGGGATGGAAAATGGCTTCTTTGACTTTTTCTAACCACTGAATAGGTATTCAGAAGCATTCAACAACCCAAGAAGACTCCAAAATTAAGAGACACAAGGTCAAAAGCCAAAAGACCAACTACTTGAGAAGTGCACTAGTCAGTTTGAAATGCACTGCTTAAAGTACAGTATCTTAATGCTACTATGAAATGTTGTATGGCGGCGAAACATGGGCACTGACGAAGATAGAGGAGCAACAACTGCTTGTCACAGAGAGGGCGATGGAAAGAAGAATTCTGGAGATTTCAATCTGCCACTGAGTCCCCAGTGAAGTGATCAGACAGCAGAGTGGAGTGTGAGATGTCATTGAAAGCAGGTACAGTAAAATGCTATGGGCCGGGCATTTATCTAGGCTCACTGACAATTGATGGACTGCAGCTATCATGAGTGGTACCCACGAGAACTGAAATGACCACTCGGCCGACCTTCAAAGAGATGGGAAGATTTTATTGTGAAAAGGCCTGGCCGCACGTGGAGAAGGAAGGCCAGGATAAGAGAAGGATGGAAGACGTGTTGTGATCTGCGCAATCTATACGAAGGCTGAAGGACCGATCTTTCAAGGTGATCAAGGTGATGATTAAATTCATTTTAACAAAAAGGAAACTTGAGACCTATTTACTGTAATAAAGTTTTTTTAATTATAGATACACACACGATGGCTCAGACACAAATGACCGCTAACAAAAAGCAATTGTATGCAGCATTTGAATAATGTTTTAGAAAGAAGCAGTAAAGATGATCTGCAAAACCTTTTAGTTAAAGATTCACATTAAGTGACAGAAGATTAGTACAGACTTCATAATTATAAACAGCTACATTTAAAAAAATAAAGATTGGAAAATCATTTCCTCCTTCATATATGCACGAAGTCCCGAATTCAGGCCAAGGATTCTGGGTTTCCAATACAAAGCTGATGCCATCTCAAATGCCTGCTGTACTGCCTGCATTAGGGGTTTGAGATGTCAAGGAAACACTTAATTCTAATCCCCTGATTTAGTAGGAAAACAAAGAAGGAAATGATTTTTTTTTGTATTATTCATTTTATCAGCTTAAAGTTGGATACCTATTCTGTTACTGATCTAGGATATTGCACATATTTCTTTTCATAAGCTTTGTTACTTTATGTATTTAAGATGCAAGAGGCCTGCTATCTGTAAACTGTAAACAGACAGTTCAAATCTGTGGCTAAGTGCTGCCACCAGACTTCAAAGGCAGGATGCCACGTTCTTCCTCCAGCCTGGCCACTACACTCAGCACCACTTTGCTGATGGCTGGGCTTCTTCTCGAGTTTTACTCCAGAAACTAATTTGGAAGCAGCTCTCAATTTAGCTTCTACATGTGAATGTAATATTTCAGAGGCCCTGCTGTTTGCCTTGTGCTGTTGGGCACACAGAGGAGGAAAGGAGTGGAAACAGGAGTCTGAGGCTTGTTTTACACTAGTAACTTATGTCAATATAAGTACGTTGCTCAGGGGTGTGGAAAATCCACACCCTTGAGCAATGTAGTCATACCAAACTAACCCCCAGTGTAAACAGCTATGTTTATGGAAGGACTTCTCCCATTGCCATAGCTACCGCTTCTCAGGGTGGTGGAGCACCTACACCAATGGGATAAGCTCTCCTATTGGCATAGATAGTGTCTTTACTAAGCACTACAGCTGCACGGTAAGTACAGACAAGCCCTGAGGAAGAAACCTCCCTGTTTAAGTAGTCCTTAAGCCTCTACCAATGCATTAACAGGCCTTTAGAACCCATGACAATACCTTTTCCAGGCTCCATCCAATGGCTGCCAAGAAAAAACTAATACCCTATTACCTAAATGGAATATGACCACTAGTGTCTTTCTTCAAGGCAGAGATTGCCAGGGAACCTAACCAGAGAGTGAAGTGGCTGAGCTCAGTTGGAATGAATTCTTCACCAATAGGAAACTAGAGAAAGAGTTTGACAGACTCTGCATTTGGATGGATATATGAGCCATTTGGCCACAAAAGCCCTTTTGGCCTACTTTGAACAAACTCTCTAACTAAAACTTTTAAACTGTTTTTCCTTCACCTTTCTTCCACCTGCCTAATCTGCCCTGGTATCTGCTTCTATTAGCACTTTTCTTGGTGGGTCATTTATACAATAAACGTTTTGGTGCTAATTTATAAATGGATTCATCCCACGAAGATACTAGCCATGTCATACTCCAGATTTCCTGGGGCAGACCATCACCAAAACAGATTTGAACAATCAACATCCAAGCTAGTTTATAGTCATTAAGCATATGGGGTAACACAGAGAAGAGAAAAACTGCTGGGTAAATAATAGATGTGTACAAACACATTATTGCTTACAAGAGTCCAGTATGTTGAGACATTTTGTAGATTATATTTTTATAATCTCACAATCCTATCTGCTGAAGAATTTGTTTAATACTAATGATTCTTTAGTTACTCTGATTTTTAAACAGTTACTGAACTTATTTCAGAATTGTCAGTGTGAGTTTGTAATTTCTCCAGTTGAAGTCCTCAAACTTTGTTCCAAAAATTAAAAGTTGCACAAATGTTGTGCACACATTTGCACAAGTCAGGCGTACACAGTTAGACTGCAGATTTATTGCCATGCATATTACATAATTGTATACTTGTTGTCAAATTTGAAAGAATGGCACAATTGCCAAATCTGTAATTCTTAATATAAATAGTTATAAACTTGTATAGCTACTTATGCTATCTAAAGATCTCATCTGTTTTCATTTGCAAGGGGATCTGATTTTATAAGATGAAAGGAATGGTTTTTAACCTCTGGCTAATGCATAAGACACTAATTGTCTAGAAGTCAATAAGTCAAATGAAACCACATCACCCACAAAACCAAAACACTGGGGTTAGGATTTAGCAACTGTCATGTTATCTGATTAAAATATCCCACATATATCATTGTTGCTACCACTGTTATACAACTGCAACAAATCTTGTACAAAGTATGTCAAATAAGGTGTCTATGGAAAGGTTATGATTTGCCAAATATGATTATGCTAATTTGTATGCATGTATCATTTTTGTATCTGAAGTTATGAATATTAACTATGTACCTGTATTTCAAATGTTTGCTCCTGTGGTAACACCCACCAGGTACTTAGCCTGCACACCTTGAAGCGACTATTCAAGTTAAATGGCCCATCAAGGAACACTTAACTCACATCCGATATGCATCCGAAGAAGTGGGCTGTAGCCCACGAAAGCTTATGCTCTAATAAATTTGTTAGTCTCTAAGGTGCCACAAGTACTCCTGTTCTTTTTGCAGA